ACCTTCAGCCTCGGGTGGGGAGAGCTGAATGCTGCGCTGCTCTCTCTGTCCGAGGCTGGTGTGGGGTGAAAATCCTCCACCTCAGACGTTCAGAGATGTAACTATCTGAGATACTGGTGGTCACTTTCCATGTAGCATCAATTATGCTAATGCTAGCTGCCTGTCACGTTCTCTCGTCCTGGCCACACCTCCGCTCTCTAACCACCCTTCCCCTACCCACTTTGATGCATTTTTCAAATTTCGCCTTGGGGCGGAGTTATCTTTTCACGGGGGGGTAAGATACACTTTAAAAAGCAGAAGAAGACAGAGATATATTTAAACAGCGTCGATGCTTTGTTAGAACAACATGGTGCTTTAATTTAAACTGTGAAACCAAACATAAAATCTACATTTTACACATTTAATTTATTCAGAATTAACCCCAATTCCCCTAAAAACTGATTAGCAAGATCCTGTGGAGTGCACTGTGTCTGAAGCAGTTTTATTACATCATTTGCCTTTTATAAATAACTGATTCCTGTTAACCTAAAACAAAAACCTGAAATAAAAAGTGATGAAACAGTAAAAGTGTTCAGATGTAGGAAGTTTCTAGGTGACATTTAAAGGCTGCTGCTGCAAAAAGTTCAACTAAATATCAACAAAGAGCCAATAATTGAGTCGAGGCTGCATAAAAATGTTTTCCTTTGTGTCTCGTTCTAGCGCCGTCGACTCTCACGCTGTTTGAATCTGAATTCCTGCATCAGAACAGGAGATTTCTGAGATGCGAAAGAAAAAAACTCGTCTCTGTTCTCTTCAAAAAGAAGTTGCCTGCAGACATTTGACTTGATGCGAAGTGAACGTCTGAATTTAAAGGAAGTGAAAACTGCGCGATGGTTAATTTTAGACGAGCGCTGACCTTCACTCAGGTGGCTCTAAACAAAAAGTGGAAGTAAAACTTTGACATTTTTAGACTCTGTGTGTGATTTGTTGCAGAAGGAAAAAGGAAAACTGATTTTTAAAAAAAAAAAACGGACCTTTTCCTGTGAGTACAGCTGTCCCACCGTCCGGCCCAGAGCTCCCAGAGAGTCATTCACCGTCACCTTCCCCTCCGTCCAGCCTTCACTGCCTTTCTCAAGCAATAAATACGCCTCACCCTCTTTTGCAGATGTCCCATCCTCTTTAGGCAGTTTGTACAAATAAAACCTAATTTACAAACAGGATCGTGTCAAATGTAACGGTGGTCCTGTAACGAACTTTCATTTTAAATTTCAGATGTAAATCAGTTAAATTACAACAATCTTTGAAGATCAGTAGTTACCAATCAACTGCATCTCCCCGGTCGTTGTGACAGCTGATTGGTGACGTGTCGCCCTCTAGCGGCCAACAGGCCATCAACAGGAACAGAAACATCTGACAAAAAAAGGAACACAACATTATATTAACACATCAGAGTTTAAATAATGTTTTTGAGTTGCAGTATAAAACGTGAGCAGTGAAGATCTCCTAGGAGGACATGTCAAAGTGATTTTATTTAATGCTGGATGCTTTTGTAGCTTTTCTTTTTCAGTATAAAACCCACACATCAGGAATGATGAATCATAGTTCCTGTTCTTGTAATGAAAGACATCTCACCAACTTATTATTCAGTTATTGCTGTAAAATACTGTCCATCTGCTGCAGGTAGTTCACCAGGTTTTTACTCATTCTTTGAGTTAAATGCTAATGAAGCAAACAGTTTTGTTTTTATACACAACTTGATGCCAGTCATGTCAGGTAAATGCTCATGTTTTATTTCACACATTTCATTAAGGAGCTTAATTACAACAACTAATACACTTCACTAGAGTGCGGGGGAAATGTTTGAAAAGCGACCCTGAAATGTAATTTAAAAGCTAACTTTAACTAAAACTGGATTTCAGATCATGACTGTCGATTATGAACCGCAGCTAACTTTGCTTTTATAAATAACAACTCCCCGAAACTAAAAAACTTTACATTAAAAACAAAAACTCACTTTGAACTGACTGTCTTCAATGGTGTCCAGAAACTTTCAGCTCATTTATGTTCCTACATCCTTATTTTGAAAGGTCGGACCGGACAGTGACGTCACATATATGCGACGCGGAAAGAGATTTTTTTAATCAATAAAAACAGTAGAATGCAAAACAAGCTACACAGAACAGAAAGAATGAGCTTATAGCTTGTCTGATGAAAAATCCATTTCTAAAAAAAAAATCAAGTTAAAGCATAATAAAAATAAAAATATAAGCATGAATTTTTTTTGCATAAAAAATAATAAAAACAAATAAAACAATGGGAGGTTTAGTTCTCTGTTAGATTGTCTATGAAGTTAGTTTTGCAGCAGATTTTCGTTTGGTATAATTT